AGAGAGAGAGAGAGAGAGAGAGAGAGAGAGAGAGAGAGAGAGAGAGAGAGAGAGAAGATGGATTTTTCCTTGGAACGCCAGCTCACAAAAAATCTAAATGAAGACTTATTAATTATGAAAGCTCTGCCTTAGCTTAGGCTTGTTCCTAACTAGTTCTTATAACTTAGATTAACCCATTTCTAGTCTTGTATTCATCTACATATTGTCACTTGACTCACGACTTTTACCTCTCTTCCTGCATGTCTGTCCCCTCTGTGTTTGGCTGACAACTCCACCTTTGTTCTTCCCCGAGCTCTCTCCTCTGCCTCCTGCCTAGCTGTTGGCCTTTTAGCTTTTTATTAAGCCAGTCACAGAGACACAGCTTCACATGATGTAAAGGAATATTCTACAATGAGGGCACGATTCCCTGAAAGGGAAAACAGAGATGGTAGGGTAAAGTTCCTGAGAGCAAGAAGACTTGAAAGCACAGCTGTGAGAGACAGAGCTCAAATGGGAAACAAAGTACTGACAATTGATGGGCCTGTGCTGGCACAGTTCTCACTTTTGCGTAAAAAGGTTGAAGATTTTTTTGGTTTTTTGGTTTCATTTTGGGGGGGGGGGCGGTTGTTGCTGATTTTGTTTTGGTTTTTCAATACAGGGTTTCTCTGTGTAGCCCTGGCTGCCCTGGAACTCACTCTGTAGACCAGGCTAAAACTCAGAGATCTGCCTGCCTTTACCTCCCAAGTGTTGGGATTAAAGATGGGCAACACCACCTCACAGCTGGTTAAGGATTTAAGGTACTAACAAAATGCTGTAATGAGCCACCACAAGGTGCAGTTATGAAGGGAAGGGCAAGCAGAAGATCAGCTAGGGAAGAGGTCCCGGAGGCAGGAGACTAGAGGGCTTCGTGATGTCTAAGAACATGGACAGCATGAATAAAGGTGTAAGAAAACAAAGACTGACCAGAAGTAAAATATTCGAACCTTTGGAGAGACAGTAGCTCCGAGTACAAACAGGAAACATGGTGTGCTTGCTCTTAGAAGCAAACTGAAACACAACAGGCTCATTGCTGCTTCTAGAACAGAGGGTTGTGCTAACTCTGGAAACAGTATTACTAGGTCTATTTGTTGATCTAATAAAACAACTTACCTTTAATGAGTCAACGTGTATTATAGGAGACCTGGAATCAGACCACTTTGGCAGGGATTGCTCTACAACTGCAGTAATACGAAATTTGGATGACCAAGTTCTCTTCGTTGACAGAATCAAGCAACAACATGTGTTTGAGGATATGACTGATGCTGACATAAGGGGTACTTTTCTCTACTTATTTAAAAACACAGAGATGACTGCCTACTTCTTCCCACTCCATTTTACTGCCTACATTTTCAAATTTCAGATCCCATCCTTAGATGGAAGGCCACAGTAGTAACTATAACTTCACTTTAGAGAGTCCCCCTTTTTTAGTTGGAGTGAGGAATTGGATCCAAGAGACACTGGTAGAGTACATGTCACTCTGAGTCTATGTGTGTGTCACCAGTTCCCCTATTTCAATTGTATCTCCATAGAAGAACCTTTTCAGGTTGGATCCTTTATCCCCATTGGTTATAGCTGAATATACTGCTGACACCATCAAAATGCAAAGGAAAAGCAAAACACAAGCATTTCAAATGAACCTGTCTTCCACCAGGACGTGAGAGTGCCTCTCAAGATGAGCGCGGTTACCTCCCTCTCAAGATAGACGTTCCAAATATCGCAGTTTGGGGCCTAGTTGAATGTATATTCCTGAAAAAGTCCTATTCTAAGATTTTTGCAATAACAAATGTTTTGAATACTCTGTTGAACATTCAACAATTAAACATAGTCTTTAGACTTAGAATAACGTTCTGTTTGGGGGTTGATTTTATTTTTTATTTGAGACAGGATCTCATTATGTATCCCTGGCCATTCTGGAACTTACTTTGTAGACCAGGATGGCCTAAAACTCACAGAGATCTGCCTGCTTCTGCCTCCATAATGCTGGACACCCGGCAGGGTTCATGATATCTTTTTTTTTTTTTTTGGCTTTTTGAGACAGGGTTTCTCTGTGTAGCTTTGCGCCTTTCCTGGGACTCACTTGGTAGCCCAGGCTGACCTCAAACTCACAGAGATCCGCCTGGCTCTGCTGCCCGAGTGCTGGGATTAAAGGCGTGCGCCACCACCGCCCGGCCTGGTTCATGATATCTTTAACACACTCAAGAAAAATATCAGAAATCAAGAAATATATCAGAATACCTTTAACACTCAGAATATTTTTAACACACTCATGTTGCCTACCCAATGGTTTATAACACCCTGTAAGGATGTTTTAAGGGGTGTCTGGCTAGCTGGGCCTCATGTCTGTTGGCCATTTGGCCAAATCTGAGTTCAAGGTTGTGACTGATCTATTAAGGTGGATCTATCCTTTTGTTAAATTTCTATAGATGCCCATTTTAGGGGGGAAACTACTCTAATTAATGGCCTCACTTATTAATATTTATTTCAGCTAATGAGCCCCAGACCAGACTGATAATATTTATGTATAAAGATGATAAAGTAAGAGGACTGCCTGTAACCCTCTCTGTGAAGGATAAAAAAATGTTTACCCTCTCCTGTAAGGACAAAATCATTTCCTTTAAGGTAAGATTCAACTTCATTTTGGTTTTAGTCATATTAATGCACAAAATTAAAATACAGATATCATCAGACCAACCTTCTATGTAAAGCCCAAAGAGCAGAGATAACCACTGAAATACATGATACAGGGAACTGCCAAGCCCTTTGACTTGGTTGGCTAACTCTGTCTCTGAGCCTGTCTGAGAGGGAGAGACAGCTGAATGGTTTTTTTTCTTTTAAAGATTTATTTATTTATTATATACACAGTGTTCTGTCTGCATGTTTTGCTTGCACACCAGAAAAGGGCATCAGATCTCATTACAGATGGTTGTGAGCCACCATGTGGTTTCTGGGAATTGAACTCAAGACCTCTGGAAGAGCAATCAATGTTCTTAACCTCTGAGCCATCTCTCCAGTCCCCAGCTAAATGTTTTTATTCAAAAAGGGTTTCTTGTATCCCAGACTGACCTCAAACTCAGTAGTATATAGTTGAGGGTGACCTTGAACTTTTAACCCTGCCATCTCTACTCCCAGGTGCTAGGATTACAGGTATATGTCACTGTGCCAGGTCTCATGCTCAGGGTCTCCCACTAATGCAGATCTTACCCATCACTGCCATAGACTGGGTTCGGGTAAGACCCAGCTTCATTTCCCCGTCGTATCACTAGAGCTCTGTGGTCTAGGATTACTTCTCGTTTAGACTGTAGGCTTCAGCTTGGCCCTGGAGCATCTCCTGCAGCTTAAGTCTCTCCCTGAGTTGTGGTTTACCAAGCACCGCTTCAGAAGCAGATGCTAATGAGAGAGCAATTTATATTACCATCAATTCACAGCCCATACTAGTTTGGTAAATGGCAAAGAACTGTGGCTGTCAATTTATCTAGTTCAGTTGAAAGCACACCTTCAGAGTCTTCTATGCATTTTAAGAGGGCAGAATGCATTTTTAATTCTAGAGATTTCTCGATCAGTCCACAGGATCATGGGGATCTTTGCTACCATGGGGCCAAAATTAACTCCAAAATATCAGTTCTATGATTAACATAGAAGAACCTCGGGCAGTGTCCATATTTTCTAATACAGCCTGAAAAGTAGACAAGATACAAGACTAGGAAAAGGCAGGCACTCCTAGCAGTTACAGGCCCAGTGGGAAAGACTGCAGTTTCCAGACATCTAATCCGGACTAGGACCTTGGTGTCTGGACAAAAGATACGGGAATCAGTACTTGGTACTAAACTCAGGACAGAAGGGAGAGAGTGCTGTGCACTGTCATGCTTGGCAGAAAAGCAGAGTTGGGGGCCAAGGGGCTGAGTCCATGCAGCTGGGCTATTGGGGAACCCAAGATTCAGCTATGGAACAACTGCTGGGTCTAGTCACACTACAGTTTTGTTTCAGGATCCCAGGAAGAAGGAGCTCAGATTCTGACACCTCCTGTACCTCTCATGGCTGATTCAGAAACTAGAGCTCCCGAGCTTAAGGGAGGATGCCATGAGTGTTTTTAGCTAAGGACGACTGAAGAAGACGAGGACTGAAATTAGCCCAAAGAGATGGTTGTCTTTGCTAGAACTTTACTTCATCATTAGCAGACCTAGACTCTGCTTGGTGGAAGAGAACAGAAGGAAGTTCTCTGGGCATAGGGGATCCAGGAGGTCTCTATATTGATGAGCTTGCCATGGCAGAAAAGGTCAGAATGGACAGGAAAATATGTTAGGAACTGAAGAGAGGTGGTCAGTACTCCTATTGTGTCTATATTTAGAGGGTTTTTTCTTAACTCTTGAAAAAGTAAAGCTTTAAGTCTGTTTAGTAATACACTTCTAAATAAATTGCACACGTTCAAATTGTTAAAATACTTTTTCTAAAAAATAGTTCATTTTCTGTATGCATGTCTGTGTGTGTACGCATATGTTTCTTCAGAGGCCAGAAGAAGGAGTCATATCCCCTGGTGCTGGAGTTCTGGGCATTTGTGAGCTGCCCCATGTGGGTGCTAGGAGCCAAATTCCAGACTCTGAGAGACCAGAACAGCAAGCCATTGCTCCAGCCCCAGTTATTTATATCCTTAAAAATTATGTAATACCAGGCTGGGTGGCAGTGGTGCATGCCTTTAATCCTAGCCCTTGGGAGGCAGAGGCAAGTGGGTCTTTGTAAGTTCGAGGCCAGCCTAGTCCACAAATGAGTTCCAGGACAGCCAGGACTGTTACACATAGAAACCATCTTGAAAAACAAACAATAACAACAAAATTATGTAATGTGTGTTTTCTCCACAGGAAATGGATCCACCTAAAAATATCAATGCTACAGAAAGCGATCTCATATTCTTTCAGAGAGGTGTTCCAGGACATGATAAGATGCAATTTGAATCTTCACTGTATAAAGGATACTTTCTAGCTTGTGAAAAGGATGGTGATTTGTTCAAACTCATTTTGAAAAAAAAGATTGAAAATGGGGATAATTCTGTAATGTTCACTCTTACTAGCTTACGTCAAACTTAGGTATTAAGTGTTTTTGTGTTCCAGAAAGATGATTGGAATACATGAGCCTTAGAATAATCCATTATGTGTTGCTGTAACAAAATACCTGAGGCTGCATAATTTATAAAGTAAGTAGGTTCACTTGTCTCATGTGTCTAGCCCAATTCCTACTTCCTGGTGAATGGCCCTGACTGCATTACAACATGGAAGATAAAGGGGAAGGGATTAACTGTGCTTGAATTAGTACACGGATGAGCTTCACTTCATTCATCCTTTCCAATGCCAGAGCCCTAGTAATCCATTCCAGTACCTCACCTCCTCAAGACGGTTATACTGGGGACCAAGTTTCCAGCACACGTATCACAGCAAATCTGCTCTTGTGAGGGTAAAATAAATATCAATAATGGCCTCAACATGTCATTAAAGTGTGATAATAATTGGGTGATATTTTTTAAGATAGCATTTAGGAGGTAGAGAGACGGCTCAGTGATTCTTCCAGAGAACTCTTGTGTATATGATGGGTTTGTGCACATGCCACACTGAGTAGAGTCAGTTCTATTCTTCCATCTTTGTGTGGGTTTCAGGTTCCAGGTTGTAGGAATCAAACTCAGATCATCAGGTCTGCATAGCAAGCGCCTTTCTCTGTTGGGTCCTCCGGCTGACTGTGTTGTGTGCTTGCTTAGCCATCATCATTCTGTCTCACTGTGAAAAGGTTGAGCAAGTCAACATTATCGGGTGGTTCACACTGCCTTTGACCCCAGCTCCAGCAGCTCTGACACCTTCTTCTGGTCTCTGTGGGCACCCCTGCTCACACACCACACACACACACCACACGCGCACGCACACACATTTAAAAGTAAAATCTAAGCACAGAATACACCTGACAGCAACTTTATTTTATCATCCCTGGCCAGGGCTCCCCGGTCTGTTTGGAGTTTGGAAACTGAAGGACTGAATTCTACCATTTGCTTTTTTTCTGTCATTTCCTTGAGACCCAATCTCCCTATGGCCTTGAATCCAGTCCTCCTGCCTTGACACCCCCAGTGCAGGTTTTATATGCAGGCACCACCATACGTTTTCTGTTCTCTCCCCTCTTCTCCTGACTCCTGATGGCAGATGCTTAAAGAGTGGGGTGGAGTGATGTGATGACAGACACTGGGTTTCAGAGTCAGACATCCTCATTCTGAATCTTGTCCCATAACCTAAGAACCAAAATGAACAAGAGATATGGGCACAGATACACTCTTTCTGGGCACTCAATGGCCAGGCATATACAATGGAAACAACAGAAACATCTCTTCTGGAGGGTAGCAGTGTAGATCCCATGAGATAAAGATCTTGGTGGCATACAGCACTGGAGTGCTTTACACTTCTTCAAGTGTCCACCACGCACTTCCAACTCAGCTCATCACTCATACATCACGTCTCAGACATGAGGCTTTCCCTCCCACATGAACTACCCACCCCCACATACCACTTTGGGTTGTTTCTCTTCCTGCAGACTCTCCTCTGGAGAAGGATCGCTTCATTGCCTTCTGCTCTGTTTCCTGACTCTTAGACATACATTGCTTTTTTTCTTCCTGTCTTCTCTCAACACAGGGGCTTTATAATTTAAAGAGAAAATGTTAGCTCATAAAAGCCTATTCTGTTTTCCTTGTTAGTTTTTCCAAATTTCAAGCCCTTGATTTTGCTGCACAAGAGAATTCTAATTTAACCTAGTACACAGAAACAGCCACTCACAATGGGAAATCTTGTTAATGTCCTGACAGTTGTCAAAAAAACTACACAGACGACTAGGCTGTAGTCACAGCTTCGGGCAGCCTCAAAATTTGACCTTTGATTTTTTTTCCCCCTCCAGTGGTGTTTGAGATATTGGTTCATGACTGGGCCTCTCACTCTCATGGTGGACTGGTTATGTTTGTTTGTTTGGTTGATTGGTTTTTGTCTGGATCTAAATTCAGTGTATTCAACAGAGCTCATGTCTGAAAACTAGAAAGTAAAAACAATAAATGGCAAGGGCACTATAGACAAACTTCTAAACGATCTTATTAAATAAAAAACACAGAGCCAGATATAGGGGTGAAAACCTGAGAGATCAGGGAAGTAGGGAGAGCCACAGCTAACCTCACCTCACCAACTCCGCAGCTCCCAAAGGTCAAGCTACTTCTTGTCTACCCATGCCTATACGCCTTGCTGTTCTGCCATCTGATTTGCTCTCTCTGTCAAGCTAGGTCATTTCCTCTTCCTGCCCAGCTCTGTCACTTCCTGTCTGTCTGTACAGACCTCCATGGTTAACTAGTGTTGGAATTTAAGGCGTGTGCCTAACTCTGTTCCCAGTGTGGCCTTGAACTCACAGAGATCCAGACAGATCCCTGCCTGCCAAATGATAGGATTAAAGGCGTGTGCCTAACTCTGTTCCCAGTGTGGCCTTGAACTCACAGAGATCCAGACAGATCCCTGCCTGCCAAATGATAGGATTAAAGGCATGTGCTACCATTGCCTGACTTCTATATAGTGACTGGCTTTTTCCTCTGATCTCCAGGCAAGTTTTATTTTATTGGGAGACACAGTATATTGGGGGACACAATATATCACCACAAGTTACTGAAAACATAAAGCTTGAGACAAGAGCCCATGAGGCGCATATACACATAAACATATACACATACAACACACACACACACACACACACACACACACACACACACACACACACACACACAGACTGATTAGAGTTGCTGATAGGCTGTGGTCCAGCTAGTCCAACAATGGCTATCTACCAACAGAAAGTCCAAGAATTTAGAAGTTGCTCAATCCATGATGCTGGATGTCTCAGCTAATCTTTAGTACACACCTGGTCCCAAAGAAGCAGGCTCTAATGCCAGTGAAGGAATGGATTTACCAGCAAGTGTAAGGGTGAGCAGTCAAAAAGGAGCAAGCTTCCTTCTTCCATGTCCTTTATATAAGCTGCCATTAGAAAGTGTGGCCCAGATTAAAGGTAGGTCTTCCCACCTCAAAAGATCTGGATTAAGGTGTATCTTCTCATCCCAAAATATCTGAATTAAAAGTTGGTCTTTCCCACTTCAAATGATTTAAAGAAAAATTTCCTTGCCGGGTGGTGGTGGCACATACCTTTAATTCCAGCACTTGGGAGGCATAGGCCAGCCTGGTATATAGAGCGAGTTACAGGACAGGCTCCAAAACTACACATAGAAACTCTGTCTC